GCTTTGTGGGCTTTAAACCCCCCATTTTTGGGCCGCCTGAGGCCTCTGTCAAGTGCTTCTCTCCTGCAGGCAGATGGCTCGGTGAGCTGCAAGCGGACGGACTGCGTGGAGACCTGTCCCTACCCCATCCGCGTCCCTGGGCAGTGCTGCCCCGACTGCTCTGCAGGTGATGGGGGTGGTGGGTGCTGGTTGGAGGAGTGCTGGGTCCTCTGTGTCCCCTTCTGCATCCTCTTCTGTGTCCCTGTTGTGGTTTATGCAGTTGCTCCATCACCCGATGACTCGTCCCCACCTGGGGAGAAGGGTCAGGAAAAGGAAAGGAGATCCATGGGATGGAATGGAAATAGATTTAGTAGTAGCAGTAAGAGTAATGTAAAGTATACAGAGCTATACTCAGCCAATACTGTGGGGAGCAGGCCTCAGGGGTAGGACAGTAGACAAGTCCCTCTCGAGATGTCAGCCATGGAGGAAGGAATAAGGAGAAGGAAGGAGCAAACTCCCCAGTTTATAGTGAATGTGATGTTTATGGTATGGCATAGTATTAATTGGCCAGCCTGAGGTCAGCTTGGGGTTAACTTCCCTGGGTTTCTGCTCCCTCCAGCCTCTGCACATGTTTATCTCAAGGCCACTGAAGGCCTTGAGCATCACATACCAGCATCAGCTGAAAACTAACAGAGTCTCATCGCTTTGTTCACATGAAATAGGGTGGTGTAGTCCTTACAAACATTGCAGCTTTCCTCAGCAGAAAACGCTCAAATTCTGTCCCAGTAAACCAGGACAGACCCCTTCTACAGCCCCTTCTACATCTGGACCCAGCCAGCCTGGGTGTAAGCAGAGGGGTCTCCTGGAAGTCCTCAAGCCACCTGGAGACCACAAGTGCCCCTCTCCTCCATGCAGGCTGCACCTACATGGGAAGGATCTTCTACAACAACGAGACCTTCCCCTCCGTCCTGGACCCCTGTCTCAGCTGCATCTGCCTGGTGAGGGCTGTGCCGGGGACCGCGCGATGCTTTCACCTCCTGCCCCTTGGGCTGAACCCCAGTTTTTTCCTCCATTGCAGCAAAAAGCTCCCGGGCGTTTTGGGGTTGCCCCTTTTATTCCCTGGCGGGCGCTAACGCCCAGTCCTCGCGCGTCTCTCCCGTCTCTCGCAGCTGGGCTCGGTGGCCTGCTCGCCTGTGGACTGTGCCATCTTCTGCACCTACCCCTTCCACCCCGAGGGCGAGTGCTGCCCCGTCTGTAACGGTAGGAGCTGGGAGGGTTTAGGGGGGGAGCTGTGGATCCTCTCCTCCCACCCCGTGAGCCTCTCACGCTGCCTCGCTCCCCACAGACTGCAACTACCAGGGTAGGAAGGTGGGGAATGGCCAAACCTTCACCCCTGAGGGACAACCCTGCACCCGCTGTACCTGCCAGGTGAGTGGGGTGCCCATGCCCACGGGGTAACGGTGGCAGAGGGGACAGTGGGGGTGGCTCGCCCCTAAATTTGTCGTTCGCTGCCAGCTCGGGGAGGTGAGCTGTGAGAAGAGGCTGTGTCCACGCTCCTGCGCAGAGCCCCTCGCGCTGCCCGCTGCCTGCTGCCCGCCCTGCCAAGGTAACAGGAGGTGCCTGGTGGCCGGGCCTGGCTCGGGACCCCCACTGCTGCAGCACCCCAGGGTGGTTGGGTCCCACTCCGCTCCCCCGGGGTGGAGGTGGTTGCTAACCAAAAGCATCTCTCCATTAGCTGCAGATGTCCGGCTCCCGCTGCAGAGCAGTGACCCAGCCCCGTCCCTGTCCCCAGCCCCCAAGGACTCACCCA